GGAGGTGACCACATGGTGTGGCAGACCTCTCCTGACCCGCCCGCTGCTCCCCTCAGCAGTGTACTTCGTCGATCTGCCTGTTCTGTCCCCCACTCTGTCTCTGTTGAAGCCTCTCACCGCCCCTGAGCCTCTGGCCTGTACCCCAGTTCTGTATGCACAAAAAAATAAATCTTTAAAAAAAAAAATATTTTCTCACCTGAGACGTGCTACTGAAAAGCTTGTGTGAAAATTTTGAGAGTTGGTACATACAGTTTTTAAAATACATTTTTATATTTTACTACATATTATATATTTGATAAATCAATTTTATACCTATCTGATTAACTCCTCTGTAATGGTCTTAAAAGGTATTTCAAGCTTTTCATGTCTCATTTTTGGGGCATTTTTTGGTTTGTTGGGCATTTAGATTGTTTCTTTAACTTGGCTATTTTAAATAATGCTACAGTGCATATAGGAGTGCATAGATCATAGATGTCTTTGAGATCATGTTTTTTTTTTTTTCTTTCTTTAGGTAGATACATAAGAGTAGAATTGCTCTGTTACATAGTAAATCTATTTTTGGTACTTTGAGAAATCGCCATGCCCCCTTACAGTTCCATCGAGATAATCAAATGCGTAGGAGTAAACTTAACTAAGGGGGTGAAAGCACTATACTACACAAACTGTTAAAGACATTGCTTAATGAAAGAGAAGATGACACACAAAAATGGAAGGCTCTTTCCTGTATATGGCTTGAAAGAATTAGCAGTGATAAAATGGCCATCTTACCCAAAGTAGTATACATAGTTCTATTCCTATCAGAATTTCAAAGTAATAGAGTAAAATTTAATTAAATTTATTATGGAGCTACAGATGATCCCAAGAAAATTGATCCCAAATTAATCCCGACAAAAAGAATAAGGATATTCACCCTCCCAGACTTCAACTTCAAAATAGTACAGATTTAGAATAAAAAGAAACCACAGATTGATAGCCCATAAATAAACCCATATCCATATGCACAATTAATTTACAATAAAGAAACCAAGAAAAAATGACAGTCTCTTCAGTGAATGTTGTTGATAAAACTAGACAGTCACATGCAAAAGAATGAAACTGAACCACTACACCACACACAAAAATTAAACCAAAGTGGATTAAAGACTCACATGTAAGGTCTGAAACTCTAAAAAAACATAGGTATAATACTTTGTGACACTGACTTCAGGGATGTATTTTGGGATTCCAATGGCAAAGGAGACAAAAGCAAAAAACAAGACTGCAAGTTTTACACACTGCAAGTTTGATGAAAGTAACTTTCATCAAAACAAAACCATACTTATGAAACAAAATATTTGTACATCATAACATCCAACAAGAGGCTAGTACCGAGGATCTCAAAAGAACTCATAGATAAGCAAAAAGAAAACAAATTATTCAATCAATAAATGGCAAAGAGCTAAATAGACACTTCTCCAAAGAAGACATTCAGATGGCCAAATAGACCCAAGCAAATATGCTCATCAACACTTCATAGGGAAATGCAGATCAAGACTACAATGAGATACCACCTCACACCTGTGAGAATGGCTCATATCTAAACAGATGTCAGTGAGGGTACTGACTCTTGGGCACTATTAATGAAAATGTAGGTTGCTCAAGCTCCTGTGGAAATCAACATAGAGCTTTCTTAGAATGTTAAAAATGGTTCCAATGATTATTGCATAGAGAAAACTGAGGTAAGTCCACCAGTGGACTGGGGAAAGAATGATTATATAGTAAGGATGCTAGAGGGTATACATGATTGGAGTAAGTTCCTTAATAAAATAGGAAAAGATTGATAAGAGGTCAAGATTGAAGAACTAACTCTCAGGAAAGAAAAGGAAATAAGCCTTTCTGTTTTAAGGCTTTTTTAATTTGAGTGACAAAATTAAGAATGGAAATGTTACTATACCTAGGAAACTTGTAGAGTTTGGTGAATGTAAAGAAGAGAATTTGTATTAGAGGACGTGGACATGATTTGAATAATTGGGGACAACTATAGTCCTTAAGGAATATAGAAGCTCGAAAGTAGATTCATGATGCATTTCAGGGCCACATGAGATTATGTTGTACTCTTTCCTTCTGAATTTCATCTCGCAGTCCTTCTCTACTGATTTTATAACAGAAAAACAATGTGGTAATAACAGCAGTAGAAATTACTTCTTGAGCTTCTTGCATATGCCATACAGCATGTTAATGCTCATTACATCTATTTTTCACTTAGTCCTAATCACAAAAAAATGAGATAATATTATGACCCCATTTACAAAGTGAAATAACTGAATCTTTGGGGGAAAAGTTGAGTTAATTTGTCCAGTTGCATGTTAATAGAAACTGTAAAGGTCATGACAGTTTAACCATACGGGTGATATTTTGGCACTAGTAATGTAAAAAAGAAAAAATATTTCATTAATCTTTTTTTCTAATCACTGTATTTAGAATTAAGAAAAATGTTTGTGAAAGGTTCTCCTATTGCCTTGTGATCTTAGTATTGGATAATACTTCCTTGAAAGAATAGGGAAGAATTACTAGTGATACCATATTAACTGGAGTTCTGAGTTCAGTAATCTGTTTCAGCATGCTGTTTACAAATAACAGGAATGGTATTGAATAATGATAATATTTAATAGTAGGAGAGATTTGGCAGAGGTTTGTGATCAAGACCCATACACTTGATCAAAATTCAGAAATAGCAGATCAGTGAATCACTGATACTAATTTATTGTGTTCATTTATAAAAGTTCATGCTGCACATATTGAAAAGGCAGTTAGCAAGCTGGGAGCATTCAAATTAGAACATGAAATGAAGTATAGAAGCATCTCATTATAAAGTGTATTCTACGGGGTGGATATAGTTAGTGACTGTTCTTGAGTAATTGATTAAAGTGTTAGACTTTAAAAATGAACAGGAATTAATAGTGATTACATCAATTTTGGGACAAAATCTAAATGTTGGTAATGCTTATTAAGGCATAAGTAAGAAGTAACCCAGGTCCAGTTAGCCTTGCTTATCTTGCAAAATTAGCTAAGTTAAACTTTCCTTGTATGACTAAACTTGTTTTGTCTATTCAGGGAATTTTTAGATCTGCTATGCTATTAATTTGTGTTTGATTTTAACACTTAACATGACAGCAAAGAAGTGAGGTGATTCACCCAAATGAAGAAAAGGAAAAGAACTGGAACATCTTTGCATAGTAAAAGACAGCATGACTAACCTATTCTAGCAGTTGCTTTATGAGAACATCAGTGTGTCACAATTAAGTGTACATTTGAGCAGATTAGGGAGCATTTAATAAAAAATGGACTGATTAGTTATGTTTTCTATAATTTATGGCATCATTTGCTAATGCAGAAGCAGACTTTGTTGATGGGGAATTTGGTCACAACAGAACACTAGAGAACTGATGGGAATCTGGAAATGAACAGTGTAGAACAAACTGCTTTCAATCAGATGGTTTTATGTTTGAAATTCTATCTCTTTCTCTGTGACATGTAGTTTATTATGAAAGATCTCTGGGCTTAATATTTAAAAAGGAAATTGTATTATTTGAATGTAACAAACAATGCTAATATTTATGGATTTATCCTATCTTGCTATTAAATTGGCACACTAGTTCACTTGCCTTTAATTCTAGGAAAGCCCCAGTACTCGTAGGATTTGTCTGTTTTACCAGTGTTGCTTCTTACCCAGGTGATTAAGTGGATAATAATAATATTGATGGAATGAATAGATGAAGAGAGATGTGATTCAGCTTTCCAATTGAAGTTGTCTTAAAAGTTGTTTTAAGGTGGATCTGAAAAAAAAAATAGATAAAAAATGAAAGTAACTAGATTGTGGACAAATGTTGGCTTTTATAAAATTTGAAAGAGTAATCCTTTATACTGCTGATTATTAGCACTATTTCCTCAATGAATATGGGGAAATGCTGTACCTTCTCTAGTGCCCTCTTAAGTTTTAAATGAATGCAATATTTGGATGACTAATAATTTAAATAGGGTTCTCAAGTTTACTTTTTAGGTAACGCTTTGTGTGCACACTTTTTTAATTGAATAGTAAGTATGAAAGAGCATTGGGTATATGATAGGAATTTTAAAAACAGTGTACTTCAGGTAGAAAGTGAAAAAAAAAAAATATGCAAAAATCTGAGAATCAGCCTGTGCAGAGTAGAACTTAGTAGGATCATGTAATATATGTGTTCTATAATAGACTTTCAGTTGATGTACTTCTTCAATCCTAAAATGATTAGCACTTTTGTGTAATCTTTAAAAAGACAATATGCTGCACATTCAGTTATGATATAATACTCTAATGACATGATACTCTAGTCTTGTTTCACCAGTCTTGCCTATTCCTAAGTGTTAAATAATTTTGGTAAATTTTGGTTTTTATATTTTTGTCTTTTTTTTTAGCAGTTGCTTTGCAAGTATGTTAGTAATGAAACATTTAAATCTTGTTAGGTATCTTTCCTGATATGAAACGTTTGGATATAGCTGTACAAGAAGTAAAAAATTAGAGTCATTCCTCTAGAGATGAATACTTGCTTTACTGGAACTGGAACTTTTGGTGAATTCATTGATGCTCAAGATTAGAATGTTGACTTGTTACTTTAATGAGTTAAAATCACTGAAAATTTCCAATCTTTCTCTTTAGCTTAAAACCAGAGATAGATATATCAGTAGCCTAAAAAAGAAATGCCAGAAAGAAGCTGAACAAAACAAAGAAAAGCAGAGAAGAATTGAGACCTTGGAAAAGTATCTGGCTGATCTGCCAACGCTGGACGATGTACAGAGTCAGAGTCTACAGGTAACAAGAAATAAAATGCTCATCTTGAAAATATTTTTTATAAACTCACTCTTTAAAAGCCTCATGATTTTTATAATTTAAAATTGTTATATGCTTCACTAATTTTAAGTTAAATCTGTGTATTTAATTACTGTTTTAGGATTAACCTGTCAGATATTTTATTCTTATTTTTAATTATGATTACCTTATAATGAACCTGTGTGTTAAATTCTCTCATTTAGTTTCCTGCTCTGAATTGTAGTTTCTAAACTGGTCTAATAACCCTGCTCTGTACATATATATGTGATTATCACATTTCTGAATTTATATTCTATTGGGTTCAGTCTTGCTCAGCAACACCTTTTTGGGCTATATTTCTGGATGCTTATTTCATTCCATTTAATCTTTACATAAATTAATTCTTGTTCTTTAATCTGTAATATCCATTCACACTTTTGACAACTTTCTGGCCATTTGCTTAGCAGTACGGTATCTGAAATCTTTCTACCAATATGATAGGTAGGCAGGTTTCTCTTGAAGCCTGATTTGTAAATTCAGAACCTATTCTTCAGTTTTTTTCTCAAAATATTTCTAATTATGGTTTTGGGGTTTTTTTTGACCTTAGCATTATTGACATTTGGGGGTAAAAAAATTGTTTGAAATTCCGTCCTGTGTATTAAAAGATGCTTAATAGCAAGCTAGTTCTGTGCTTTGTAGGCACTGATAACATTACTCCCTTCCCCTCCGAATGCCGACCCCCAGCCAAAAAAAAATGTTTACAGGGCACAGGAGAAGTACCACTTTCACTCACTTCAATTGAGAATTGTGGCTATTTTACAGGGACTCATGTAGATGCTGAATCTAAATACATCCTCTCTTTATGTTAATTTCTAAGGCAAGAAACTAAAAGAAGGTAAAGTCCGAAAGGAACTAAAGGAGGATAATAGGAGGGTGCATGAGCAGAAATACAGGGGAATATAGATTTAAAAGCATGTTCATAGTATATTAGACTCATTAGAATGGCTAATATTAAAAAAAAAAAACCTCAAGTAGTATGCACTAATTAGTGTGCAGAAATTAAGAGTTTTGTACATTTTACATTGGGAGCTACTGTGGAAAACATACTACAATTACTCAAAAAGTTAAGAACAGGTTTACCATATGTGGTCCATTAATTCCACTTGTAAGCATATACCCAAATAATTGAAAACAGATGTTAAACAGGCATTTGTACATCATGCTTGCTCATAACAGCATTATTTGCCACAACCAAAAGATGAAGGCAACTGAGGGTCTATCAGTGAGTGAATGGGTAAACAAAATATAGCATATACTTAAAATTCAGGCTTAAAGATAAAGGGAACTCTGACATATGCCACAACATGAATGAACCAAGAGGGTATTTTGCTAAGTGAATTAGTCACAAAAGGCAAGTGGCATATGACTCCAAATGTATAAAGTAGCTAGAATAATCAGAATCATAGAGATAAAAGGGTTTTTGTCAAGGTATAGCATTTTGCAAGATAAACAGAGTTCTGGTGATTATTTGCACAGCAGTGTGAATATACTTAACACTACTGAACTGTACACTTGAAGATGATAAATTTTATGTGATATTTTATCACTATGAAAAATAACTCTTAATATCCCCAAATTGAGATCATTTACCTTTCTAGAAATTTTGACCTTGTTCTTTTCTCCATTTAAAGCTTCATTCCAGACAAAGGAGATAGTTTTACTAAAGTAGACTAGATGGAATGAAGATACATGGTTTTCAACCATAAGTCTATTAGTCCGTGAGAACACAGGAACAAGTTCTAGTAATAAAACTTTCCACATTAAAAAATTTCTCCTTAGCTGCAGGTTCTAGAAGAAAAAAATAAGAATTTGCAAGAAACGTTGACAGATACGGAAAAAAAACTTGAGGAGATCAAAAAACAGTGTAAAGAGAAAGAGGCTCAGTTAATATGCCAGAAAAAGAAAGAAAAGGAATTGGTAACTACAGTTCAGAGGTAAGAATACCTTTGTTAATTCATTTGTTTATTTTTAAGCTATTCAGATTTTTCATAAAGCATTTCACTTAAAATGTTAATTTATAATTAGTATTCTCTTCCACATCCCATCCTTGCCTTTCTTCTTGATGCACTGTTAAAACCCAGAAGTTTCTTACTGAACAGTTTTGTTAACATTTTGATGTAACATACTGACATTTGGTAAAGTTGTAACATTTTGGTAACATAAACTTTTTATATGATTACTTTGTCTAAAAAATAGGTAAAAATTTTAAATAACAAGGGCCCTCCCTGATGGCATAGCCGGTTAAAGCACAGCACTAAGAAGCTTAGGCTACTTCTGCATGAGTTTGATTCCCGCCTGCCCCGGAGGTGACCATGGCGCGGCAGACCTCTCCCGACCCTCCCACCGCTCCCCTTAGCCAGTGTACTTTGTCCATCTGCCTGTTCTGCTCTCCACTCTGTCCCTGGTGAATCCTCTTACCCCTTGCATCTCTGGCCTGTACCTCAGTTCTGTATGAATAAATAAATCTTAAAAAATTTTTTTTTAAAATAACAGGTGCCAAAATACTTAAATTGTTCCGTGAAGAGGACACTGCTAGTGTGAGATAATTGATTCACTTGACTGTGGAGTAGCTTCTAAGGTCATTTTGCCAAGTACCTTCCAAGTTCATTTACAAGTTGTTGCTCATTGTCTTATTGAACTCTTCTTTGAAATTAAGAATTAGAATTACAGTGGGCATCATTTTATTAGCATATTTAGCTAATGTTTTTAAGTTAGGAAATTGAAATTGTATTCCTGGAAAACCTACCCAAGAAAATTGTATTCTGTATGTTCCATGTACTCTCTTTGTTAAACTTAAACTTTATTAAATTATGAAATAAAATTGATAAATTTTCCAGAAGAATGACAAAGCAACAAAAACTAAATTTAAGAAATATACTCTATGGTTATATCAATTATGTAAATTCAGTATATTCCCAGCTTTTAATCAATATCCATTTGATAATTCTGAGTAAATTCCTTTACTACTTTGAAAGTCTTAAATATGTCTGATCAACCTTTTTGTTGCTGAAATTAATTGCAGAAAATCCCCGATTTTTGAAACAGTTCAGTTTTGTAAGGTTTCTAATCTCAGGTCCCAAAAAATTCATATACTTTTGACTTATTTTTCCTTCCTATTTTCTACTTTTTATTTCTTTTTTATAACTTCACATTTTATATCCTATTCTGTAGTTAAAGAATAGCTTCCTGACCCCCACTCATTCAACCATAAATTTTCTCTTTATTGATAAAATGAAAGGAGGTAATTTATCTGTTCTCTTTTTTAGGACATCATGATGATGAACTCACGTAGTGTTTTACATATTTAATATGATCTTTTACCTTCTCTTTTGGATTGTCTCTTTTATTAGATTGTTGGTAAACATTAAGCCTAGTAATCTTGATTTAGAAAGCTCTGTACAGTACATTTTAATAACATTTTCTTAACTTTAACTTGATAAGGCTCTGAATGATATCTTAGAAAATTTATCTTGATTTCAAATATAGTAGGCCAAAGAAAATCTTATATAATATTGCAATAATCGCATGACTGTCATGCCACTTAAGTTTTGGGGTAGGGGTGTTACTTCAGTTCCCTTAGCTCTACAATATATTCCTTGTGTTCTAGAGTAATTTTGGATATGTATATGAATATGAATTATGTCGCTATCTGTTTACATGTGTTTTCTGCTTTATTATATATAGCGTTCTGCTTTATATTTTCTACTTTTGTTATGTATAACTTTTGGGATTTAAAAATGAGACAAAGGCTTTTTTTATTAGCAATAAAAATGTGAGAAACGTGGGTGGATTCCTAGTAATATAATCATAGGTACCTCTGCTAATCAAAAGTTTATTACTTTTCTAAGTGATTGTGCTTCATACCATAAACAAAATGAGAATGTATACATTGGAATAAAATTTATTTAGTAATTTTCCATGAGAGAGTACATTTTCTTTCTTCCAAAGGCTTTTTCCCCCATAGTATGAATGACCTAAATAGTTTTAATGTATTTTATTTCTTTTGGAACTTGCTTTTGGGATAAAGGAAAAAGCAGGGCCTAGGGTAATGAAGGACTTCACTAAGGCCTAAGGATGTCACATACTAAGGAAACCAAGAATGTTGTCTCAGATTTAACTTTTTTTTTCTTTTAAAGATTTATTTATTTGTGTATACAGAACTGGGGTACAGGCCAGAGGCTTAGGGGTGGCAAGAGGCTTCACCAGAGACAGAGTGGGGAGCAGAACAGGCAGATCAACGAAGTATACTGCTGAGGAGAGCAGCGGGCAGGTCAGGAGAGGTCTGCCACGCCATGTGGTCACCTCCGGGGCAGGCGGGCATCGAACTCATGCGGAAGTGGCTTTAGCTTCTTAGTGCTGTGCTTTAATCCGCTGCGCCACCAGGGAGGGCCAGATTTAACATTTTTTAAAATATGATCAGCCTTCTTATTTTTTTCCTTGTATTAAGAAAATATAAAGTTACTCAAGCTTATTCATAATGCTGTCTGTGGCATTATTAAAAATATATTACAGACCTTGAGGAGGAATTTCATTTTTGTTGATGTCATCTGCTAAAATCAGCACATGGAGCTAATTTTCTTCATATGTCTTTCTAAATCAGTTTGCAACAGAAAGTAGAAAGATGCCTTGAAGATGGAATCCGCCTTCCCATGTTAGATGCAAAACAGCTTCAGAATGAAAACGATAATCTGAGAGAACAGAATGTGAAAGCTAGTAAGGTCAGTGTGGATATGTCTGTATAGAGTATATTTAACTATTTTATTTATGTTTTTGCTAATTTTTACCTTAAGTTGCTTTTATTTAGAAAAATAGCAATTTAAGAAAATTCAAAAATTTTAAGTTTTAAAAAAGCCAAGTTAAGGAATCTGTACCAGCACCCGTATGTTCATTGCAGTACTATTTATAGTAGCTAAGATACAGAAACAACTTAAATGCCCCAAACAGATGCCTGGATCAAGATGTTGTATACAGACACAATGCAGCAATCAAAACAGATAAACTCATGCCATTTGCAGCAATATGGTTGAAGCTGAAAGGGATTATGGTCAGTGAAATAAGTCGGAAGGAAAAAGAAAAATAGTCAGATTATTTCACTTTTAAGAGGAATATAGGGCAATGAAACGGGTCAGAAAAATAAAAGGGCAAAATTAGCAGGTCAAAATGGGATCGAAGCATACAAGAGACTATGGTGATAGTTCATGGGTGAAGTGGCAGTGGGACTTTTATACGGACTACACCTAAGGGGAGAAGTCAAATATTGTACAAAAATGAACAACAATGTAAGATGGTAAAAATGTTTTTTAAAAGCATGATGCTTTTAAAATATACTCTGGATACATCTGTAAAAATAACCATACCCTGATTTTTTAGAAAATAAATTTACAATTCCATGTCTTTTGCTTTCTTGAAGTACTGGTACTTAACAGGAAAATAAAATTGGATTCAGAATGATTATTTTCTCTGTTTTAGATAATAGACAGCCAACAAGACGAGATTGACAGAATGGTTTTAGAAATTCAGGTGAGGAATGTTTTTGTGTTTATTTTAGTTGATCTTTGTACTGATTCACTCCTAATGATTACAACAACTAAAATATTACTGTGTGTGAGTGTGTGTATGTGAGAGAGAGAGAAAGAGGGATATACTACTAGAGCTTAACAATGTAGCTGTAAATTCTTTACTATTAATCTTTCCATTTTTTGTAACAAAAATGCTATTTGGAAAATTATTTCTTTAAAATATTGTGAAGACAGCTTTTCTCTATTTCTTCCCTCTCCTCTTTTCAGTTGGGTGACAGTGATCTGCTAATTAAAGAAAGTGAACTCTTTAGTCCGCTTATTTGATCTTTATATATAGTTCCCACCAAGAAACACTTTCACACCACCACTGTCCATCTTATTAAGCTCCTTTTTTTTCAGAGTTCTACTGTGAACTCGGTTTTATGCCTCTTTAAATATTGGTCTCATACAGAATTTCTCTGTCCCCTTCGTTATGCCCCTACTGATAGTATGTAACACCTCCATATCCATTGTCACTTTTTTCTTCTAAATGGTTTTCTCAATAAAAAAAAAAAGTAATAAACCTGTGGTGAAATTTTTAGAAATATGCATATTGAAAGGGTCTAGAATAGAGGTTTAGTTATAGTTTTTAGGCATGGGTTTCTCTCCCTTCCAATTAGCTTTCTCCTCCCCCACTGTCTTAGTGCTGTAATGCTGTATTGGTGATTTTTCTCAAGTGAAGAAGAAATCTGACACTATACCCTATTGACTGTGGGGTGAATTCCTAAATTTCAAGAGTGGTATTCCTGCAGTCTGCTTCTTCCCATCTCCCTGTCCTTAAGGCATTCAGCCCAGACTTGATGTGTATACATAAATTTTATATGTACACACACACTGGCTCCTTCATTATTTCCCAGAAAGTCTTTGTTCTTGTAAAACCCATCTCTCACATACTGAGTTCTCAGGATTCTACAGAAATATTACTTTAATACAACCTGCAGTGATTTACTTTACCTCATAGAGAGAATTGACCACTCCCTGTTTACTTTTCCTGCCCCTCCTAATAATTCCATGTATTACCCTTTGTAATAAAAGTATAAGACTTGGCTTATATGCTTGTGACTTTACCTCTTCCTTAGTTTCTTGAGGGAGGAAACTATGATAGATCATCTCATATCTAAAGCTTAGAGCATCTGATCTGTAATATAACAACTCCAAGCTTATGAAGTAAATGGATTTTTATTTTTATTGGTTTGTCAGATAATAACTGAGTACATACCTATGTGCTAGAAACTGTTATTGGCATTGTGAATAAAACAAGTCTCTGGCCAGTCTAGATGGGTGAAATGGAGAAAACAGAAATATGATATCAAATAGTGATATGTGCTGTTAAAGGTAGATAGAAGAGAATGGCGGGCAGTTCTCCATCATAAGACGTTTCCCCTGAGATGATAATATTTGATCACAGACCTGAGAGAAGCCACATCCAGGGGATGAGCATTTCAGGCAAAAAGAACAAACAGTGCCCTGAGTTTACTCCAAGAAACTTGGAGCTGTGCTCCAAGAAAGGAGGCTGCTAATCTGGAATAAAACATTGACAAGTGATGGCAGAAAGTAATCTGGCACCAGATCACACAGGGGTATATGTCTTTTTATCATAGTCAAAGTATGATGGAAAGACATGGAACAACTTCTGCTGAATAAATTTTTTATGCTTCCTAATAAAATAAAAGATTGAACTAAAAGAGAAAAAAATAAAAAATTCTGTGTATCAGAATTACAGACACTCTTTTCTTTAGCCATATTAAGTGACATGCTGGTGAGGGTGTTGAGAAAATGGACAGATCCAGTCCCTGTGGAAGGCAGTATGGAGGTTTCTCAAAGTGCTTAGAATAAATCTGCCACATGATCAGCAGGTTGTAGGTAGGTTCCTACCTCAAGAATATAAAAACACTATTTTTTGCAAGGAAAAAGCTTATTTATTTAAAAAGTACTTTTTCCTTGGTAGAATGTATTTTTTGCTCTCTATTTAAGATATTAATATTAACATCTGAACAATATTCTAATTTTCATGGGTTATAATGCAACTTTGCATAAGTAAAGCTTTTTTAAAAAAATTGCACTCTGCATGACAATATAAAATAGGAGATAAATATCACACATTAATAGTGGAAATAACTGAATCAAATTATATTTATGTAAGTAAAGAGTTCCGGAAAGATGTCACTAAGATGGCAACAGAGAAGCCTCCTTGTTCACTACTAAGAGGGATACCACACCCAGGGGAATCTTAAACAATAATTAGACTGGATAGGTCTAGTATATATTTATAGGGCACTAAACCTCAAAACAACAAAGTATATATTCTTCCAAATTGTACTTGGGATATTCTCGAGGATAGACTACAAGGTGGATCACAAAATAAGCCTTCATAAATTCATAAAGACTGAAATCCTATCACTCATCTTGTAGGATCACAGTGGTATCAAAGGTTAATTTTTAAAAAGCTTTGGTGTTTTTATTTGTATGGAGAACAATATACATCAGGCCTGTTTTAGGCACAGTATAATTGATAGTTAAGTTAATTAAAACTTGATAGAAAATATAAAGGATGGATTTAACTTTTGAAAAATCAGTTCTGTATTTCTTAAGGGAATAGCAGGAAGGGAATCAGTGCACATGAATCAAAAAAAAAAAAAAAAAAAAACCGTTGTTGGGCCTATATGTAGTATGAGTGGTCCACAAACCTGTGTTAATAGCTAATTATTTGAGATGCTTTTTAAAATACAAGTTCTGCAAGTTTACTTTCAAATTAGTGTTTTACTGCAGCACAATTTACAATAATTATGATATGTAAACAGCCTAAATGCACCAAAAAACATGAGTGGATCAGAAGATGCAGTGTATATACACAATGGATACTACTAAGTGATTAAAAAGATAATATGGATGGAGCTGGAAGGGATTATGCTAAGCAAAATAAGTCAGAAGGAAAAAAGATAAATCAGATGATTTCACCTATATGTGGAATGTAGAGAAACTGAACAAAGGGTCGGGAAAAAGCCTAAACTTGCAAGCTGATCATAGACCTGGGGAATACAACAGGAGAGGGGTGGAGAAGGGGTGACATGACTTAGCAGTATAGGTTATCACCTCTTCAGATATATTACCATACCATGCCTGCCACCAAAGCATCAATAATCCTCCACTGTAATTTGTTGGCTCCTCTCTCCTGTTTTATCATATCCATTTTCTCTCTCTGGTAGATGATGGGAAATTCTGCATGGGGAGGATGAATTTTAAGTAAATTTTAAAATGGTTTAATTCTGCAACACAGAGTGTGTTCTTGGACACATTTATACTTTTTGGCATTTCTTACTACCAAAATAGTACTGCAAGAAAGTGATCCAGGCAAGCTTTTTTTCCCCATTTATATTGTGCTGCAGGTTTATAACAGTTTTATTGAAATACAACTCACATACTCTACAATTAGCTCATTAAAGTGCAAAGCTCAGTATTTTTTAGTATACTCATGGGTATGTGACACCAATTTTATCACTTTTAGAACATTTTTATCATTTCATAAAATATAGGGTGGTTTCACTTATAGGAAGAATATAGGGAAACCAAACAAGGGGACAGTGGTGAAAAAAACAAGCTAGCAGCTAAGTTATAGAACTGAGACACTGCAGCAGAGGGAGAGGGGTCAAAAAGAGGAGGGAAGAGCACAAGAGACTATGTTGATAGGTCGTGTGTGCTTTTGTGGTAGGAATTTTATGGGGATTACACCTGAGGGGAGAAGTCAAACTATTGTACAAAAATGAGCAACAATCTAAAAAAACAAATACTAAAATAAATTTTTTAAAAAGACAAAAGCTAGTTAGCATTTAACTATCACTTACTTAAATCCCATCCCCTACCCAGTCTTAGACAATCACTAATATATTTCCATATTGATGGATTTGTGTATTCTAGAGATGTCTTATAATAAATGTAATAAAAGAATTGGTGTTAATTCTTCTCTAAATGTCATATCATTCTTATTAAAGCCATTTGCTAATACACTCCAACTACATAAATAGTTAAATTAAGAACTGTTGCCTTAAACAGCAACTTTATAGTTAATGTTTTACCCAGATAAAAAAATTTCTTGTTAAGATGGTGTATTTTTTTTCATTGGTACTTATCCATTTTAGAAGTAATATGGGTTGATTTATAGATGAAGTCTTCATCTTCAAAGGGGCTGGGGGCAAGATATAAGATCTAAAGTATTCAGTGTTCTTGGTACCTACTGATTGCATTTTGTTTTAAGTGATGGCATGCTTTGTTTTCCTATTCTCTTTATTCTAGTCTATGCAAGGGAAACTTTCTAAAGAAAAATCAACCACTCAAAAGATGATGGAAGATCTGGAAAAGAAAGAAAGAAATCTACAAAGGTTAACAAAAACATTGCTGGATGTGAGTGGAAGAAATTCAGATTACTTTCATAGCATCATCACTCAAGTGTCTAAGCAAATACTTACTTTGCACATATTAATAATCCATTTTTTAATTGAAGACACTTTGGATGTGCCAGTGAATGGAATCCATATGTTCTCATAAAATTATAATAAAAAAAAACTTCCATTTTTCTTATGTCTTGGCATACAGCTTTTCACAGATAACTACAGCAAAGTTGAATGTATAATTAGGTCCCAAAGTCAGTGAATAAAGCACAACTTGAACATATTAAAAAAATATACCCTTGAAAGTTCCTAAGGAAGGTGCAGTGTTAACTTTTCATCATGGAACAAATCACACTTTCTTTTTTTAATTATAAGATGAAATACTTGGTTTACATTTAAGGACATGTTGTTAAAAAAAAATTATTAATTTTCATTGTAACATTTTTTGTCTTTAAATTCTGATGAATGTATATCTAAAAGTTAGGGACATTTTCCTAGATAATCACACCACTATGGGCACACGAAGAAAAATAATAATTTTTGACATGTGCTAATATATTAAAAGTTCCCCACTTCTTTGCCAGATGTTTTTTATGGTGACTGTTGAAACCAGCTTTCAATCAAGAATTCTAAGTTGCATTTCATTTATAAATTTAAAGTCATATTTTTCCATGTTACTGACTTGAAGAAACAGCTATTTTGTATACACTTGTAGAGTGTCAGGACTTCTAGACTTATGTGATTACTTCCTAATGGGGTACCTTACCTTGTTCTTTATACCTTCTATTCCTTCTATTCCTAACCTAGAAGTCAAAACTAGATTCAGTTGAAACATTTTTGATAATGAATACCTTGTTAAAGTGTTGTTCACATCTTCAAATCATGTGTTTGGTTATCTCACTGGTTAGGTGACAAATACTGATTTCTTCTATTTAAGTTAGTAACAGACTGGTTCTTTCCATTGTAAAATTATAGCCTCTGCAGACAGCAAGTAGCTTCTGGGGTGATAACCTGGGAGACTGTGTGAGTAAGCATAGTTTAAATATCCCCTAATGATTTTCTGAGTGTTCAGATGATTAAAAGACTGGTATTCCTTTTTCTAATTGTATCATTCTTTCTGCATTTATTAGGTGACATTCATCTATAAAAAATTTCTTTTCCTCATCAACCCAGGAAAATTGGTTATTTTGAAATACAGTTCCACTTGGAAAGCTAATTAAGCTTACCTTTAATTAGCAACTTTTAGGATAAGTAGATGGTGACAATTTGGAGGATGATGTGTGAAAGCTTTTTCAGATTGTAATAATTATAAGTTTGTATTGATGGACTTCCAGTTAAAAATTAACAATTCAGAATTGTTTGGGTTTTTTTTTTCCCTTTGATTTTGTACTTGTGTCTCTTTTTGATTTACACTCAAACTTTGGGTTCTTATCAGCATTAACATAATAACAGTATTTTTTCCCTCAAGATACAAAAAATAGTTCCCATGTATGTCACTATTGCTACTAGCAATAAAACTATAGCATGAGGTTTGAAGTTGCTTTGCAGTTTTTATGTTCTTAGAATAAATCTTACTATAGAAAGACATAGACAGCCTTTATGCTCATTATGTAACAGCATGAGAGACCCTAAGAACTAGGACTTGGATTTACATTTCCTCTATTAGGTTTACCCTAGTGGATGTGGCTTGGCACAGAGGAAGCATCTCTACTATTTAATTACTTTTTTGTTTTTCTTATGCAGTTAAATTTGGATTATGACTCCACTGTTTCGTTTGTAGACTGGAGGAAATGTTAACCTTTATGATTTTGAGTAACTTAACTATTCAAGCATTGTTGTTTTCTTTGTCTTTTGCAGAACCAAAGACAGGCTGAAGAAACATGCTCTTTGTCGGATCATGGCCAGGAAACAGACCAACCCAGCCAGCAGGCATTTCTTTCTAAGCGGCCTCTATTTGATTTGAGTGTGATTGATCAGCTGTTCAAGGAAATGTCCTATTGTTTGTTTGACTTGAAAGCATTATGCAGTATTCTTAATCAGCGTGCTCAGGGCAAGGAGCCTAATCTTTCATTACTACTGGGAATCAGATGTAAGTGGCTCATGACTTGGCTTACCTTATTGCTTAACAGTCAGAAACCTGTCCTCATGCATTGGGAACTTAGGACTTATTTTTTCTCTCTCTCTTTTTAACCTCCATTTCTGATTAGATTTATAAATCTCTGAATCAACCTAGAACTTTCCTCATTGTACTTATAGAAGTCATCAGGTCATAGTGTGGGCTGTCACTACTTAGCAAGATGCCTACAAATCTTCCAGTGTGCGTGGGTTAGATGTTTCCTGTGCAGAATCTGTTAATGTATGTTAATGTGCAGAGTGACTACAGTGGTAGTCATTCAGATGTGATTTCCCAATTATGTTTCCAAAAGTAATGATTCTCTTTACCTGCATGTGGAAGTTGTATAAATTAATGACCCAGCTACCTGACCTTCTGGTAAACTATTCCAAAGAAAATGTTCGCTTGCCTTCCTATACAGTGTATATCCTTTGTTAATTGCTCAATATAAGTGCCAGTGCTGTCATGTGAGCCAGTTTTCATGGATTACAGACCTTTGTCTTAGCTGCTTGCTTTGTCCCCTCAATGTGACACCCACCCCTCATCTGTCGCAGTTTTCCTTCCTGCACACGTAATTGTTAGAACAGTCACAGGAGTATCCTATTTTCCCTTCCTGCCTGTGCTACTTTTATAAACACTTATCTCTGTGTGTAGTTCTACATTATTTAGAAAAGAAATAGACTTCAGTAAGGATATATGAATGGAGTGAGATCATAAGGCTTATGAACCAAATGGTCTATTAACTACCTAATAATTGGTTAATAAGGGGTTGGAATGAGAACTATTAAGTATTAAAAGATTACATAGTTTTGAATCATAATAGTTCTTTTGGCAAACCAAATTAATATCGTTACTCAGAAAAGTATATCGATTGTTAATAAAACTTGCAGCTATGCTCAGCAATGTTAGTGGAATTTCTCCCTCCACATCATTGATGTATGTGCACACAATTTAATGTGGAACTATAGTCACCCTTTCAGCGCCTATATTGTCCAGGTAGACTAAGGTACTGATAATACCAGATACACTGGATACAACCCTTGACCACATATGAACCGAGTTATTAGAGCATTTTGATAAGGTCTATAATTGAGATAAAAACAGAAGACATTAGAATATTTGGGGTGGAGGTAACAACTGAATTGACTTGGGAAAGACTATTCAGTCACCATGGAGTAGTTGTTATTTGACTTAAAATTTTTTTTTTTAAGAATCTTTTTTAAAAATATTTATTTATGCTTACAAGAGCTGGGGTACAAGCCAGATGCAGGGCTTGAGGCAGAGTGGGGAACAGAATAGGCAGACTGATGGGAGTACATTGCTCAGGGGAACAGTGGGTGGGCCAGGAGAAGTCTGCCAAGCCATGTGGGTCACCTCCCTGACTGGGAATTAAACGCATGCTGAGGTGATTGTGGCCAGCTTCACAGTACTGTTTAAAATGGGGTGCGTCACCCAGGAGGACACTGACTTAAATCTTAAAAGGAAAGAAATTTGCCCAGTGGACATAGGGTGGTTTAGTTAGCAGTAATTATATGGAGCAAGAAGCAACTCACAAACAAATGACTCATTTTCTCCACTATTTTGGAGCTTCAATTATTTTGCAGCCTACATTTATACTATCCTATATAACATTTGTTAAAATTTCCAGTAACAGGATAAGAGAGCCATTCTAATTTACAAAAGGAAGGTTTAAGAGCCTTGCCAACTTTCCCTCCCAGAGTTTACTTCCTACTGTTACAGAGTAGCCCAGAGTGAACTTGGGCTGCCTGTCTGTGGGTCCTCACCCCGCGCTTAAAATGTAATTTTCTGCAGACACATACAAAAGGATAATGGATTTATTTACAAAAAGGTGAAAGAAGAAGGAACAACCTAGGGAAAGAGAGACAGATACAAAGTAACTGGAATATCTTACCAGCTCACCTATCTTGGAACTCTAGTCACAAACTAACTCTAGCCCCCAGTCACCCGGTCCAGAGAGAGAAAACCATTACCTCTCCAGAGCCACAGTTGGAAAACTACTCTCTTATTTATCCCCCAAAGTCCCAGAATGTCCTCTTAGCTCCGCCTTGGGTCCTCACTGTTCTCTCCTTGGTACTGCTGGGAGTTGTAGTTTGCCAATCACTGGATTAGGGGGTAGAATCCAGAAAGGGGTAGGGGATGGAGTCCACAAAACTGCAGCATTTCTTTAGGACATCCTTCCCCTTAACACTACCTTTAAAGTTCAACACCAGAATCCTTACCTTGTAGTTTGATATTTGTGAAGATCTGACCAGCCATCAAATTTGTCAGTGGATTCTTTTGAATCCTTATCTCATTATGCCAGTGATTATCTGTTAACAGGGTTCGCCTTATTCTTTAAACTGCTACCCTGGGTTCCATGACGTCATCCTCTGGGTTCTGCTTCTCTCTTTGTGACTGACTGCTCAGTCTGAGCCTCCTGTGGAATTCTCTGCTTCTTAAAATATTGGTGTATCCCTCGGGAGGCTTTTTTCATTGTTGTTTTCTCTTTTTATTTACATTCTCTGAGTAATCTTAACCATGTCCTGTTCTGTTATTGTGGTACCTTTAATCTGTACATTCGTATCCGACCTCCCTACAATCTCTCTTTAGTTTCTGATTATCTTTCCTGTAGATCAGAAGCAGCTGTTTCATAGGCATCACAGACATAGGTCCTAAATAGAACAGTCTTCTTCCTCCCTAAACCTGTACTTCATCTTAGTGAGTAGCACCATTATCTACCTATCGCCCCAACCAACACTGTGTTCTCCACCCTAACTTTTCTCCCACCAGTATCCTGTGCCCAATCTCTGATCCTTACCAAGTTGCTGGTGATTTTGCACTTCATCAATCCTGTTAGTCTCCCACTGCTTAAGGAAAAGGAAACAACCCAGGGAAAGAGAGAGGGATACAAAATAGCTGGAATACTTTACCTGCCCGGCTAACTTGGAGCGCTAGTCCCAAACTAACACTACTAACCCCAGTCACACAGTGTGAGAGCAGTTGCTCCAGAGAGAGAGAACCGTTACCTCTCCAGAGTTGTTACAGGGTAGCCCAGAGTGGACTTGGGCTACCTGTCTGTGGGCCTGGGTTGTTTCCTTTTCCTTTCCCCTTTTTAGAAATAAACCCATTACCCTTTCTGTGTGTGCCTGCAGAAAATTACATTTTGAGCATGCGGGTGAGGCCCCACAGACTGGCAGCCCAAGTCCACTGTGGGCAACGCTGTAACAGAATGACAGTTGGAAAACCGCTTATATTTACCCACCAAAGCCTCAGAATGCCTGCTTCCCCGCCCTTAGGTTCTCTCCTTGGTACTGCTGGGAGTTGTAGTTTTCCAATCACTGGAGTAGTGGGTGGAATCCAGAAAGCTGGAGTAGGGGATGGATCCACAAGACTGCAGATTTTGCAGAGTTCTTTTAGGACATCCTTCCCCTTAACAGAATGACCTAGCTAAACACTGATTCTTATATCTTAGTATGTATGGTTCCCTAATTTAGAGATAGCTAGCTTCATTTTCCTGTCCTGCCTTCTGTTGTACTGTTTTAAAGCTGTTTGCTCATTTCCTTGAAATATCTCATTTGTTAGGCCGGTTTTCTGTTTCTATACCTTTATTCATTCTGTTTCCTTGGTTTATCCATTGAACCTGGGCCTGGCTGTTCTCTGCCTTGTGCCTTTGTACCCTGAATGCAGTGCAGGTCACTTGTAATACCTGACTGCTTGTTTATAAAACAGCATGTAAATCATTAAGAACAAGCAGCTATATTGCTGGCTCATCCTCCAGCATAGTGCCTCACTTGTGGTGGGTGTTCAATTAGTGTTTGTTAATATCACAAACTGACTTTTATGTCTCCAGTAAGCTATCCAGGCCAGTGCTGATACAAGGTTCATTTTGTAATCACTAGTTTCCCCTGTGTTTATGGTGAGATAATGCTAACTAAGAGAAGAATTAGGGTAATTTATAAAAAATAGCTGACTCTGGACCTCCTCCTCAGTTATTTATATTCACGTGTTGGGCAACTATCAGCCTGATTTAATTGTTTGGTATTCTAGGGGCCCAACTTGGGGTAGCTTTTGAAACATGACTTATATTTTGATGTTAGCAAACCCACTTGGCAGTCTATGAAATTAATTTAAGGTAACATATGTCACTACACACCTGAAGTTTTTCAGATTTTTGTCAAGCAAGAGGAGCTAAGAGCTCTAGTTGAGCTTGAAAAGAGATATTAGAGCATACAGTTTTCTGCTTTCTGGATACTGTCATCCATTAACCATGTTGAATTTGTGTGTATCACTGTATGAGTTTAATGCATTTTAATTAGCAGGATTTTAAAAGGAACCCAGTAGACAAGATCTTTTTAATGTTAAATGATGCCTAATTCAAACCTGAGACTGACTTGTATTCAGTGTAAAGCTATTATGTTTCCAATGGCAGTTGGAAATCCTACAGAGGCTTTGTTAAAAAAAAAAAAAACATGAGCCATTCTCTCCATGTTTTATTTCCACAGCAATGAATTGTTCAGCTGAAGAGACTGAAAATGACCATAGCCCAGAAACACTCACTAAAAAACTGTCAGATGTATGCCAGTTGCGAAGGGACATTGATGAATTAAGAACTACAATATCGGACCGCTACGCTCAGGACATGGGGGACAACTGCATTACCCAGTGACCAAGTGTTGGTTCTACAGCAATAATGACCTGTTGTTAAATGCTGCTGTGTTCACAGTTCTCATGTTTCCTTTTAGTAGCCATAATTGCAAGTGGCAAGTAGCATACAACTTGCACTTTTTTTTTCCACCCCTATGGATTTATTTTGGGGGGATGGAGATAAGGATAGGGTAAAGGGTATGGGAATGTGAGGATGTTTCTAAGGGACTTACCTAATCAGGCCAAAAATTGAATTGCCGTGTGAAAGATCTGATGAAACCTGTAAGAAAAAAGATTTATATTCTCAAACTACTACTGAGTATAGGACCAAACTGTGAAGAGTGCCCTTCAGATAAAGGGGTAGGATTTTTTCTTTTAATCCTGTAGCTGTGTGTGTGTGTGTTTGTGTGTTCACAAATTATAAGCATTTCTAGGGTCAGAGCTTTGATGAAGACACACAATATTTATTCTTGTATTTCTTTTCTTTCATGTAGAAGCTTGTGTTGTACTTTGGGGTTTTCAAGGGCTGGCTGAACAAGAGTTCCAGCAGCAGCAGGCAAGTGTTCTAATAGTGGGAAAACCATTTGTAGTTTGAATAATCACTGTGTTGAGATGATGAGGTTGTGGGGTTGGTTTGATTTTAGGACTGTAGATAGGTCGGCTGTTTTTCCAGAGTGATTGTGGTTGACTTAGAGGTATGAAGTTTTGATGTGATGATCTTTTATGAGCATTGTAATTTATATACTATAAAGCATTTTAACACAATTTGAACTAATTTTGATATGTCCCTTATTATTTGCATTTTTTAATTTATAATAGGCAAAGCCATATATAATCACTAAACTTCTAAGGGTTGAGATTATTATTGTAAAAAAAAGATTAACAAAATGACTCTGGAACAATAGCTTATTTATCCAAATCTCAAATGTTTACATTTTAATAATTTTTTATCTGTTTTAAATTCGAAATTACTTTAAGAAAAAGCCAACCACTATATTCTTTATATCTGAATTATCACTAGCGTAAAACAAAATATAAACCTGGGTAATATTTCCATTCTTTTATTAGGTAAAGTACATTCAAAAAAGGATTTTTCATAGAATATAAACTTAGCAAACAATTCTTCTGGAGTGCAGGACAGCACTGTGATTTTTTTTTTTTTTTAAATAGAGATAATCATTTAAACTTTTAGATGAGTATTTCCCTGTTTTAGTTAGCATTTTGGAAGGACTATATGATTATTTCCATTGTCCATTATAAGCTGGTTCGATCACTTGACCAACCAGATCTCACTAAGTCCAGGCTAAATAAAAAGGCTGAAGGAGTAAGGGGTGTAAATCAAACAGGATAAGACTACTTTGATCAAGAACAGATAGTATGTCTGGTTTCTTGCCAGGCTTATATACTGGATAAAGGATGCTCCCAGAAAATATTTTTCCTGATTATCTTCAGCAGTGAAAACACATGAGATAAGATTTAAAAGGAAAATGTCCAGGGAGAAATATTTGAGTTCAAAATTTGGCTCATATCCAGATCTCAGTAAGTTATCTTATGTCTCAGTAGTTTGTTACAATACACTGTTAGGGGCATCAGACTTCTCAGTACCTGAGTTCTCCCAGCTTTTCTTACCTCTTAGGATCTGAGCACTGTGAAATCAGTGCATTGTAGTCATTCTGCATCCCAAGTCCCCTAAGCTAATGAGGAAGGCCTGAGCCACTGGTAAGAACTCAGCTTCCTAATGTGTTCATTTGCTTTTCAATACTGATGGTTTGAAGACAATCAGGGAATAATAAATTTGTACCAAAAATCTGATGCAGGAAACCTGCTTTGTAAAATTTAATATCCATAAAGTAGTCCTTTCTAGTAAAATAGATACTAGAATTTAAAACAGATAAAACCACAAGTGCAACACAGATTTTACGTTCTTTTTTATTAGACTCTTCTCCCTCTATCCTCAATCTCCACAATTTTGCAAGTAGAGGCACAGTAAAACAATGAAAAAAGAATCACTAATTTGGGCCACTAAAATCTTAAATTTGATTGTTTTAAAGAAACATTAGGTCATTTATTTTAACATACTGTAATATACTTGTTTTCTGTTGTCGTGGTTTGAAATCATTTTCTGTTTTTTAAAATAAGTTAGTTTTACAAAAGTTAATAGAATTTGACTTAACTCATAGATCTTGTAAAAAAAATTATTTTACTTAGCAGGAAAAAAGTTGCTGATGTATTTTAGTTTCCAAAATGTGTGCTCCCTCCAAAAAGAACATGTAAGATGTGGTTTTCAAGGTATATTTTTGAATTACAAAATGTAATCTCTTGGAGTCTGGAGTTTATGACGGGACCTAGAAAATAAGCAGACAGCCATAGCAGAAGTTGTAGTGAAGGAGGTGAAAGTAGTAGTGTTCTGATTTGTCAGTACTTAATTTTAATTTGGGGGGAATCCCCCTCTTTCAAGACATCAACCTCTTGTGTCTTAACAGTAATAATCTTGGTATCTTGTTGAAAGCCAAGACTTTATCATTAGAACAAATAGAAACACTATTTGAACTATGATGTGTTCAGAACTTATAACAGTGATATGTGTATGAGATGTAAATAACCTAAAATTTAAAGTAAATGTTTGAAAATTTCCTTAGATATGGAAACTTTTCAATTAAGCTTTTGTCAATTAAATGCTTATCATCTTAGGAAGTATTTCATGAAGTATTAACATTTATCATTAGTGTTTTGGGTTTACAATTGAGCTTATTCTGCCTCAGTCATATTAAAACAGGGATTAAAAAAGTTTTTTCAATAAAAGATCCAAATCATCTATGCAGACAACTGATAACAATAGTTATTTTTTCATCTGATTTTTCAGAATAAAAAGGGTGACTTTAGTTAGATGAGTTTCATTCAATTTATTTTAAAATAAGTGTGGCCTTTCTTATATTTGTAATGCACTCCAATATTTAGTGTGTTAACAGTATTCTACTTTAGTGAACTTTATTCTAGTCATGACAGTTTATTAAACTGAAATAGATTTCTTTCAGCAGCTTGTTAAAGACAATTGCAAGGACTGGAAAGTGTTGTTAAAAATGGACAGTTTTAAAGGTACAACTCTATTGGGAAAATGTTCTTTCAATATCAGCAATCATTTATTGAAAAACATAGTAGTTGAGAAGTTGGGCTATATTTTTACATGAAATAGTCCAGCTCAGGCGTACCTTTAATTTGGGTTATTGGCGTTCTTATGTAGATTTCTATCACTGTAAATATGTAATTACAGTAATAAGCAATTCTCACAGCCATGCTCATTCAGTCTATATCATTTGAAACTGCCAGTAGCTGTAGCTTTCAGAGCCAGAATCATTCCTTTTGGGTTTTTGACAGCTTAGTGTTCACAAAAGAAACTATTTCCTGTTTGGTATGAAGAATAAAATTTCCAACTTCACCACAAAATGCCATGGTGACAAAGTTATTGTATAATAGTAATATACATTGAATCATGAAAGGAAATGATTTTAGATTTTTGTAATTTTTTTCCTTATTTAAACAAAGTATCAAGTATACTCAGAATGTAGTTTCATTATCAGTAAGTCATTAACAACACTTACAGCTGCATAAAGAGAGAACCTTTTGTGCCTTTTTGCCTGCAGCAAACATTCATTTCTACTTTAGGTTACTTATGAGAATATTGATGGCATTGCACCTTGTTCTTCTGTAAATAGACCTGTGTAAGGAGGTTTTTTTTTTTTTTTTAATTAATGAGCAGTATTTCATTATTAGGTGGAGACCTTCATAAATACAAGAAGGAGCTATCAAATCTATGTCTTTGGAGCTCTGGTATTTTCCCTGTAGAGTGAAAACACCCTTGGAATGTAGTGTGTACATACATGTATGAATAGTTATTTAAATACATAAATATAAAATGCTGCATCACGTTGTTGTGATGATAAGTAGTAGTAAGGTGCTAGGTGGTTACATTACAAGCACAGCAGAGTGTTCAATCAGTCCCTGTGACTGGTGATTCTGTAAACTAGGTTCAATTTTTGAACCACCCAGAATACCTCACATTGTAAATATAGTGGTTATGACTTAATTGAAAAACAGTTGTGGTAAAAAGAATGTGAAGCCACTGGTTGGCTTATGCCTTCTGAACTATAATTTTTACCTTTTTTGGTAAAGAGGTTTTTTGTTTTTGGTTTTGTTTTTAATAGGGTTTACAGCTAGAATTTTGAATGCCAAAGTTCTATTTATTAAATTTTAAAAAAGTTTTCAATGTTAATGGCTAAGTATTTTTCCACTGGACTATTGTTTGTTGATGTTGAAATTTGTATTTACAAAGAAATAAATTTTTTATGAAGTGATTTGTGTCTTTTAAGTTTTTGATATTGTGAGATTGTATTAAAATTTTTAGACTTCTAAGTTCTCAATGACACAGATATGCTGGATTTTATAGGTAAAATGTTTCTCTAAAAACACAGAGTTTTTGACTAGAAAGTGGAGACTTCTGCCTTCTAGGTCTGACTTACAGTGTCTTTCAATTACTGAAAATCTTTCTCAGAACCTTCTCACTGAGATTTTCTGATGACAACTGCCTTAAATACAAAGGCACATCTATATCCATTTCAGCTAATAGCTTTCTGCCCCCCTTTTGAATCCCTTGCATCCCTATTTAAACCTAGAGTCTTTTTTTCTACCTTTCCAACAGTCAAAATTTGATTTGCGTTTTCTATTGCTGCAGGGTTGGGATGGTATATCAGATATTTCTTGCTACCCCCCCACACCCCTCAATCAGAGAAGTCCTTGTTAAAAGGCTGTTCTGTAGAAGCTTTGATGGTTTGCCAGCACAGATTCAGAGATGCCCTTTTGGTACCAGTGATCTTTGTTCTAATACATGTGGGTTATGGCTTCAGTATGTCTGAGGAAGTGGTTAATAATTAGATGAGCAGGATCTGTTTCCAGTTTCCAACATCTTGATGTTGCTCTTTCAGGGATTTTTAACTAGGCATCTTAATTCATCTGATAGAAAAAGGATCACTTGAATTCATGCATCACAGGCTACTTAAATTGAAAATAAATGTCTTAGAAATTAAAAAAAAATGGATAAAATACCAAAATATTTCTAAGGTGACTACTGAAGATTTTTTTCCTTCAGAATGAAAGATATTTTTTCTGATCTATGTTTTGTGGGTACATGCCAGTGATTTGCCAGTACTTTAGCTTCTTTTTATGTCAAACTTCTCCAACCAAACAGAATCATTCTGTGTAGAAATGCAGAGGACTCAGTTAAAAAGACCTGTGAAATACATTGTTACTAATACCAGAAAATCTAGAGTATGGATCCAGTATAGGAAAAGATTTACAAATGAGCTACACTCTTACCACCATGTCAATGAAGATATTCGCCTGAACTAGGGCAGATTCCAATTTGAGGACTGAAATTATGATCAAAGATTTCTAAAATGTTTTTTTAAAAGATTTATTTATTTATTTGTACAGAACTGGGGTACAGGCCAGTACAGATGCGGAGTGTGAGACAGAGTGGGGAGCAGAACAGGCAGATTGATGAAGTACACTGCTGAGGGGAGCAGCGGGCAGGTCAGGAGAGGACTGCCACGCCATGTGGATCTCTTCCAGGGCAGCTGGGGATCGAACTCATGCGGAAGTGGCTTTAGCTTCTTTGTGCTGTGCTTTAACCCACTGCACCACCAGGGAGGGCCAGTTTTCTAAAATGTTTTAATAAAACTGCAGCCCCCGACAGAACTTTGGTGTGATCACAAAAAAGTCTTTCCATTTAGCCAGCCAGTTTTACTTACTTTACCTCTGTGTGATCTGGAAATTCCACTATAGATATTTCCCTGAGATAAATACAACATCCCTTAAAGAGAGACGTGGATGAATGTTTATAGCAGCTTTATTCATCATAATTAAAACCTAGAAATAGCACAGTAAGAGTTTCCTACCCAGGTGCACAGTGGTTTAAAGCCCAGCACAAGGAAGCTAGTCACAGCCACTGAAGTCCAAGTTCATTCCCAACCACAATAATGATTGGGGAGGTGACCCATATGGTCTGGTCTCATCCTGGCATCAAGCTTTTACAAACTATTTTTAATTATACCTATTTATTCAAGTGATTGTATAGGACAATGTGTATGATTCAGAAATAGGTTCATACTTCTTCCCAGGTGTGTTGCTATAGTACTCTTATACCACCAGGCTAGCCCCTCTTTTTTTTTTTTTTTAAAGATTTATTTATTTATTCATGCAGAACTGGGTACAGGCCAGAGATGTGGAGGGTGAGAGGATTCACCAGAGACAGAGTGGGGAGCAGAACAGGCAGATCGACGAAGTACATTGCTAAGGGGAGCAGCGGGCAGGTCAGGAGAGGTCTGCCTCACCATGTGGATCTCCTCCGGGGGCAGGCGGGGATCGAACTCATGCGGAAGTGGCTTTAACTTCTTAGTGCAGTGCTTTAATCTGCTGCACCACCAGCCCTTCCTTTTTAATGTCCACAAAACTAAATTCCTCCTCCCCAAATCTGCTTCTCATTGGGGTTCTCTACCTCTTTAAGAATTGTTTCTAGTGATCTCTTCCCCACTTCTCCATATTAGTGCCCTATTAACAAACTTAACTAGCTTATAGTAACTCATTATCTTACATTTTGGGAAGTCTAAAGTTCAAAATGGGATTGGTTGGCTTGTTGATTTTTAAAGAGTTCTTTTTATATTGTTGATTTTTTAAAGAGTTCTTTATCAGATAATTGTCTTACAAATATTTTCTCCCAACCTATGTCCCATCTTTTCATTCTCTTAATGTTGTCCTTCTCAAAAGAAAATTTCTACTTTAACGAAGTCCAACTTTTTGGTATTTTCTTCAATAGGTTATGCTCTTGATGGGATATCTAAAAAGCCATCATCAAATCCAAGATCATATAGATTTCCTCATGTCATCTTCTAGAAGTTTTGTAATTTTGTAAATTTAGATCCAAGAGCCACTGTTCCTTTTTGGGTAAATTTTGTGTAAACTTTAAGGTCTCTCTTTTTGCATGTGAATATACAGTTGTTCCCTTGCATTTGCTGAAAAGACTATGCTCTCTCCATAAACCACTTTCGCTCTTTATGTCAAAGATACATTGATTATGTGTAGGTTGTAATTTTCTTATTAAAATAACACTCCTCCTGGGAAAGGTAGCATGTTGAAAGTTATTAAAAGATTAGTGTGGAAGAGTTTTTCAAAATCTTGGCAGAGACTAGATTAGAAAAAGCTGTAGACATAACCATGGGTTAGCAGAAATTGACAGTGAAAATATAGTCCGTATTCTTAGCTTTGCCTGAGGCCAGGAAGATGGGTCAGTGAAGGGTTTCT